AGAATGTTTTGCCTTTTATCCATGTTGTTCTGAAACTTGTTGAACTGTTGTTTCTACTATATGTGATACCCTGTTCTTTTCATCTTAATATTTCTAATGACTTCATGCAGCAAATGAACTAAACTGACTTAACAATTTTGTGTTTTTATATCTATACATTTCAATTGTACTAATTAATGACTTCATGCAGCAAATGATTTCTCTTATGATGATTTCTCTATTTAAAAAGAATAAATATATGTTGCATTGAGCTAAAATTTATTGCTTGACATCATAATCATTTTCCTGTTTGTAATCTTGGAAGAGTATGGTCTTATGGTCATATTATTCTTAGTATCCTCTTCTATGGGTTATTTTCCTATTCAAAGGGTGGATTTGATACTTTCAAAGAGAAAATTGTTTGGACTTTTATCAAATGTCTTATTTTGATAGCTTATAAATTCGACTTATAGGAACCTCGACCTTGCAGAGGTTCTGAAAAATTTAGTAATCTCACTGAGTGTGCCAAAAAAGGAATAGCAGGTGGGTAATTCGATAAAAAAATACCTTTCTTATGGGTTTCCTCTATTACTATACTTTCATGTAAAGTTTTTTGCTGATCATATGCTAAATGATTGATGTTTTCATCTTAACACGAGATTGCATAGTGAAACCAAACCGAGGGGATGCAATTATTTTCTTCAATATTAACATGCATGCTACTCTAGACACTAACAGTCTCCATGTCAGATGCCTAATGGTTGAAGGGGAGAAATAGTCAATGACAAAATGGATTCATGTAGACTCATTTGGTAAGAATGTACATGCTGGAGGGGAATGCTCTGATCAACACAATAGTTGTGAGATATGAGCTTCCCTTGGAGAATGCACTAACAATTTTGTGTATATGGTTTAATGCTTTCGGGTTTCTACCATGTACTTCAAACACTAGGATTTGAGTTTTAATTTTCTATTATTTTTTCTTTTTTTCTATTTACACATCAGTGAGAGATGGACTATTGTGGAAAGTTCCATACTCCATGGCACAGTGTAGTCAGGATAAACACCATAGGTGTTCACATATTTGACTGAAAGATGATTAAGGATGTTAATTTTGTTTCGGACCCATGGAATAATAAATGCAGTGAGTTGGGGAATCTTGATGCCTTTGGGAGATGTAGTTGCAAGATACTTGAAGGTGTTCTGATGATTCAAGGTTCAATCATCAAAAGTCTGAATTTCCATCCACTTAAGCAAATTCTACTTCTTGGTAAGACTATTTCGGTGTGATTTTGAAATTTAATATTTGTAAGTTCTGTGGTTTTCGATTTGGCAGCAATTTTGTTAAAACAAGCTCACAGCAAGATGTTGTGACAAATGTCTTGACAGGTCAGTCATACATCATGTTCAGCATGATATTGGGACATGTGGCAGGCCATGTTATACCAGTAGTTTAGGGCTTGAACAATTTCATAATTTAAGTGTGAGATTTGATAGTATTTTCACTCACACTGTGTCGCAATCCAAGGAGAGATATTTTAGGAACTTTTTTCTTGACATATTTGCTTGTACTTCATAAAAAAGATATTGGAGCCTTTTAGGAAACTTTCTATTTAGTTTCTTTTTTTGTGCAGAAGATCTTGCAGAAGATTTGAAGCTGTTATTTTGTGATTTATGTTTTGTTTAATTGAAGAGCCCAATCCCATGCTGATCTGAAGGCTATAAAAGAGGAGGTCTAAACCTAATGAGGTGGTGAAGTCGTGTATTGAAAGAAATGGTGTTTTAGGGTTTAGAGAGTTCTGTAAAATTTGTTCTTTGTGGTCCTCTCTTATGTCTTTTTACATTTGAGTTGGATTGTGTTATTTGTGCATTTATGAGCCATTCATATACCTCTTAGGTATTTCAATTGGACTGATTTTGTTGTTGTAATCACTCCTAAGCTTTTAAGCAAAGAGTAAATTTTTGTGTCTTTGTAAGTGTGACCTCCTTTCTTCTTTATTTTTTAGTTTACCACTATTGTGTGACTGGTGGGAAGTGAAAGGGATCTCAAATCTAGGAGTTCCTAGGTAGAAGTTAGCACAGGTTGTCATTAGATGAGAAGCTTATAAACCTGTCGCGGTGAAAATAGAATATCAATCTATTGATTAACTTAAATCGCAAATCATTATTCACCACCGGTCTTTAATTTGTCCAAGGGAAGGTAAAAAGATCGAGTAACCCATGAGTATGCAATGGAATGCAAAGTCATAGAATCTAAGGTTCGGGGGTTAGTTAAACTTAGGGAAGGTGTTAGCATCCTAAGCATTTGTAGTACTCTACAAGAACCTCTTATTTTATCGTGTTATTGTTGTTTGCTAAGGGTGAACCTAGGGGTTTATTTTTAAGTATGTTCGCCAAGATATCGCATCTCGTGCCTATGTATCCTGACGATAATGAAATCAGAGCATTCGTAGTTCCCCTAAAGTGTGAGGAGCTCTTGTCTGCGGTCAAGGTTCCAGAGGGAGAGGTTTGTTGATTGATTCTAGGAGAAGAGACAAGTTGTCATCTTAAAGATAATACTCGGCTTAAACCACCACAAACATAAGGAAGACGATCTTTGCTTCATCTTGAAAGAAGGGCTCCGACTCAGATATATAATCGACGAGTATGCCACATACCCCTCTTAAGCGGAAAAGATTCTACATCTTTCTCGATTATGTCATGGGGTAGGAGAATTATATCTCGACTAAGGATGACTCGTGTCTAGTTCTCTCATGGAAGAGAAGGGTTTAAAGTTGAAAAGCCAAAGTGGCAAAATGGTTTGAGATTGGTGAAGTGTTTTAAGGTTTGAGAAACAGTTAGAGACTAAAGTTAAAGTATTTTTGAATTTTTGATTAAGAAAAAGATTTTGTTTTACAAAAGAAAAGGGATGACTAACAAAAGGGAATTCTATCCTAGTGTGATCATGCAGAAGGTTGATCCTAAAGTCTAATTCAACATTAAGTGATCAGAAATGAAATATAATCACATAACGGAATACCCTAAAGGAACATGTGAAGCAAAAAAGCAAGTACAACATACATCAAGCAACAATGCCAACAACAAGAAAATTAACCACCAAGACTCAACCAAAGCTTCTAATCTGTAATTAGGGATGTAAATGGATATCCATGGGGGCGGATAGTATGATATCCGTGTCTGCCCCGTTGGATAAATATGATATCCGTATCTGCCCCATATTCATGCGGATATCAGTTAAGCGGGTAATCCACAGGTTTTAAGGTATCCGCGGATATTTACAGATATCCATGAATAACTTTTTTTGTCTAAAATTATTTTTTAAAAATATATTGTTTTGCTCTCAATTTAACAACTAAACTTCATCATATTATTTTCATTCTTTTTTCACTAAAACATAATAACATTCAAACATAATATCCATACATTTTATTTTTAACAAAATAAAATTCATCATACCATATAATAATTGTTTAAATAAAACAAAAAGTAATAATGCAAATAGTTTTCATCAATCACTACAAAATTCCATATTATGCATTCCTTGCTTAACATTCATACTTTGGTTTCCTAGCTCCTAAATTAAAAGCTTAAAAGATTCCAAATAAAATATCCAAAATAACAGTGATATTTGTAACCAAATATTATAAGATACACTAACAATTTCATTCACTAATAATGTCATCATCCATATCTTCCAATACTGAATTAATTTCAATAACCTCAACTTTTGATTTGGTATAACCTGAAAAGAAATAAGAATATGTCAAATAATAATTTATTATAATTAATCACTGTAATAAAAATATGTCAAATAATAATTTATTATAATTAATCACTGTAATAAAAACATGTTATAAAATTGATTACCTTTCACATCAGTCCATAGCCAATCTTGGACACACATCAATGCCTCTAAAGTATCTGAACGCAATCTACTACGATGAGGAGTAAGAATCCGACCACTTGTGCTAAAAGAAGACTCGGAAGCAACCGTTGAAATAGGAATTGCTAAGAAGTCCCTTGCAATCATTTGCAAGATTGGATATTTTAATCCACTAACCTTCCACCAACCTAAGATGTCAAAATTTTCATCATCCGGTAACACTTTCTCCTCTATATATCCGTCAAATTCTGACCTACTAGACGTGACACTTTTTTTTGCACTGACATATTTTGCAAAATTAGACCTCCAAGCTTCTTTTTTGCCAACAACAATTGCATCAGACACAATTTGAGTTTGATTTGAGGATGAAGAAACATTCTCTTTCTCCTTTATTTTCAAATTATACTCAATTACCATATTTTGAAACAAAGATTTTACCTTCTCAATTTCATTATCAGCTTCATCTCCATACATTAGAGGAAAAAAGTAATCTAACAAATCAACTTTGTACCTTGGATCTAACACAATGCCTATTGCCATCACTCCATTGACCACCTTCCAATATTTGTCAAACTTAGAAAGCATACTTGAAGCCATGTCTTTAATGACACAATCAGTAGAACCAAGCCATTCAACTAAAGCCAATTTCATTTCACATACTTTGGGAAAATAAATATTTGCAGTTGGATACTTGGTACCAGAAAATAGTTGTGTAACATCATAAAAAACTTCCAACCTTTCACAAATTTCTTTTGCTTTCATCCATTCATTTTCACTAGGCAAGGTTTTATATTGAGTATCTCGTTTTGCCAATCGACCAAACACATCTTCATATTGTATGGCAACATTAAGCATTAAGAATGTAGAATTCCATCTAGTTCTGCAATCTTGAACCAAATTTTTATCATAAGAAATGTTCACTTGACCACATGTCTCTATGAATTTCTCCTCTCTTTTAGGGGTTGCTGTCCAAACGACAACACTTTCTCTAATATTCTCAATGGCACTAGAGATTATGGATAAACCCTCTTTCACAATTAAATTCAATATATGTGCAGAACACCGCATGTGAAACAATTTGCCACCCAATATCAATGACCTAGGTGTAATCTTATTTAAAATGCGTTCAATCATAGCATCATTCGTAGAACAAATTATCAACAGTCATTGTGGACAACTTTGTATCTAGGTTCCAATCCATCAAAGATTGAATCAAGGTATCAGCTAGAGTTTTGCTAGTATGAGGAGCAGGAACATAAATGAACCTAATATAAATTAAATTTTTAAGAACAATATTACTAACATTATACACACAAAAAAATCAAAATAATTTACTGTTATTACCTTACAAGTCGACTTTGAAGGGTCCATGAATCATCAATAAAGTGAGTTGTAATTGTCATATAGCCTTTATTCTGGTTACTTGAAGTCCACATATCACTGGTGATTGCAATACCACTTTGATTCTTTGACAACAACTTCATGGTATTCTCTTTCTCATCGTTATAAATTTTTATGATGTCATTCTTGATAGTGTTACGAGAAACCACCTTAAATAGAGGTTGCATAGAAGCACAAAATTCTCTAAAACCAATGTGTTCAACCATTGCTAGAGGATACTCATGAAGAATTATCATCTTAGCAACACCATACCTTGCTATGTCTTGGTTAAACGCATAAGAACCTACCATTACAGTTTGACCATCAACTTGTTCAGTTTTTATCAAAGCTTGCTTTATATCTCGATTTGTTCGACGTGGACAAGACTTAATGTGTGATTTTAAGTGTGACGTTCCTTGTTTTGGAGCACCCAAGAGTTTTGCACCACAATAGTTACAAATGGCCTTCAACTTTCCATCTATTTTTTGCCTTTTGAAATGGTTCCAAACTTCAGAAGTTAACTTTCTTTTAAGACCTTCAGTGTCAACTTCACATGAAATAGGACTTTCAATTTCATTAGGAGTTGAATTAATTTCTACATTCGGACCATTTGAAGCAACAACGTTAGACTCATCTACATTTGAGACTGCCAAATTCTCTTGCATAACTTCTATAGGAGTAAAGGTTTGTTCAAAAGACATTCTACAAACAAAAAAAAGATAAATTTGTCAATACTGTATTAATGTGATAGTTTTAATATCAATATCAATATTCAATACTGTATAACAATTGTGGTCCAAATTATCAACGGTAAACTTGAACCGGAAAAAAAAACTAAGAGATAATGAATAATTAGCAATTAAAAATATAAATTAATAATTAAAAAGCATTAACTATAGCAATATTAATATTATAATAATGGTGAAACGTTTACATTAAAATAAAAAAACAAAGAAACCTATAAAGATGCATAACGTAGATATGAGAAAACCTATAATGAGAAAAAATTATCATTTACTTGATATAGTATGATTATATTTTATTTCATATATTAATAACACATGAATATAGCAATAAATAAAAGAGCCTATAGATGGAAAGAATAGTCACAGATGAATATCATTTTTATATCCATGAAACAAAAAAGAATGTATATGGTGCTTCTTCTTTTTACTAGTTTAGGGTTTAGTATTTTACATTATAATTGCCTTAAAATAAGAAACTATTTTGCAGCCCCACCTATTACTACTTCAGTGTTGCAACAACCAAAATTAAAATTAAAATAGCAAGAACAAGAACAAAATGTAGCAAGGTAGATAGATTACCTTAATCATTTAGGAAATTAGGACTCTGAGTTGCAGTGTTGGATAGAGAAAAGACGGTACTGGTTCTTTGGGTTGGAGTTGGACAGTGGAATTGTGAAAGTGAAAGAGATGTTAGGTCTAAAATATAGAAGAAGCCTAAATAAATATAAAATGACTAAATATGATTTTTCTTGGAATGTGAAAGGTTTTCTTTTTCTTCCAAGAAAACGTTAAAAAAAAGAAATATGAAAAGACTAAATTTCTTGGAAGATGTAATGACGTCTATAATAAATTAAAAATATTTAAATACTTTTTATAATTTATTAACGGGTATGGATATCCGCAGGTACGGGTATCATTAAACCCGCATCCACATCCATTAAATAACAGATATTTAAATATCCATTTATTTTATTCATGGATATCCATTAAGTTATCCACATTGTATCCGTGACGGATTATATCCGCGGATACCCGCGGGGTCGGGATTTCGATGGTTTGATCAATCAATGTCTTGGATTGAGTCTCCATGAAACAAGTCTCTACATCACCAAAAATACTACATTGGATCAAGTATGAATCAAGTTTGAGGTTGTCACCCAAATATCAAGAACAGTGCAGTCCAGGACTCCCGATTAGGGTTCCTGATCAGGAAAAGTCAACTGTATTTTGAATTTTGATTCAAAGGCATTCCAATTTTGGAATCATGATCCATGGAGCCTATATGACTTAGTGAAGTCCACCAAAGAAGTTTCAAAGTCTCAAAATACCCAGAACATCAACAGACGATTTGGGGTATTTTCGGTTGATCGGCCCGTTTGACTGAAACGTCAACTCTTTGACCAAAAGGAAGTTGACCTCAAAGTTGAAATCAAATATGTTCCTAATGTAATATTACATCTATTCATGAAGTTTTGTGACCATTGGATCAAGGATTGAGGAGTAATCGAAAAAGTCAGGAATTAGGGTTTTAAAAGGGACAAGACCTTAACTTCCTAACCACACATCCAAATGAGGTGGTTCAAAGTTTGTTGGAAAGGTCTTGGCAAGCCCTACAAAAGTGTAAAGGTATGTGAAAAAAATGCATGGATTTGGAGTTTCAGCCAACTTCAAGAGGTTTTTTGACCTAGTTCCACTTGAAATTTGAAAGTTCTTAAACCATGAAAGTTGTAGAGCATAATGAGGGATTTCTAAAAAGTACAAGAACTCCTCCATATCATTTGTGAGCTGAGATTTTTGAAGGAGACAAGTTGGGTCCAAACTCTTGATTGTCATCATGTCCAAATTCAGGACAAACTTGATTTCCAACTATCCAGTTGAGTTCTAACTATGGATTGACATCTGATATAATATTTTAGAGTGTATAATGAACTAGATCAGAAGATCTTTCAAGCATGGCAAAAGTTTTGTCCAAAGAACCATTGTTTAATGTGAAAAAGTACAAAAGTACACCATGAGAGAGAGGATTTGTGGCTGCAGTATGGGGGGTTGTCCTTGCTCACTTTATAGTCACTTCTTACAGCTCAAGATTAGCTAGTTTTAGAGGCTAAACACCCTTGAAAACAAGCATTATCTGTAGAAAGTAATCACACTTGGATTTACCAAGATCTTTCGCCAAAACCACCATCTTGCAAACTACTTGTGCAAAATTTGTCCTCACCATTACCTTACCTATAAATAGAGGTTCCCTCTATGATAAGCCACACACCAGAGCACTCTAAACCCAAGAGAAAATCAAGCTCTCTCACTCTTGCCTTGCTTTACTTGTAAGTGAAGAAAAAACATCCAAAACCACCAAAAACTGCCTTGTGCAAACTTCATACCGGCATCATTTCCAATCATTCAACCACCATAAAATTCACCCACACAACCTCAAAATCCTTATTAGAAGGTGTTCCAACCATTAGTTTGGCCAAAAACACCACAAAAACAAAAGTCAACTGCTCACACCCTAAAGTTTGACTTTTCTACACAAAATGGAGAAACTTATTTCCTAGAACAGTTGGGACCTCTTTGACACCTTGAATACCATACATTCATGTTGTACCAACTATCCAAGACCTTTAAAAACAACTAGAATCTCATTTTCCTAGGACTGTCCTCAAGGATCACTTGTTTCTTCAAGAAGAAGTAATCTCAAGCTTGCATCAAGGGAGGGCTATCTTATTCACTCAAGGCTACTGGCTCATTTTGGGAGGTCTACAAGAGGTAGGTGATCTCTAGCTATTGATGTTTCTTATGCACTATCTAAAAATATTGATCATATGTTGAACTTGCTTATGTTTGTTGTCATGTGTTTGTAAATGTTGTTGAAACATGTAGTGCATTTGATCATTGATGTTTGACATTGTTATGTTAAGATTGTGTCTATTACTATTAAGACTTGGTCCTCATGCTAAAAATTGGTTGTGCTTGCCATCATGAAGTTGTAACTTTCATTTGAAGCAAGGTATTTGAATTGATATGGATGTTGGCTTTGTTAAACACCAAAAACTTGTTGTTATTTCTGTTTGAGATCTGTAATGAAAAATTGGTCTTTTATTTGTTTGTTGAGTTGTAACTCTCAATATACATTGTTTTGATATTGTTATTGTTATGGTAAGCCTGCTATTGTTAGATGTGCAACATTGTCATGTTGAGTTTGCAAACTGCTTCTGTTTGGATTTGGTTTTATGTTAGAGTTGGTTATAGGTTTAATTCATGAACAAACTGCTGCATTGATGCTGCTATTTACCACAACCTAGAATTACCAATCACGTCAAGCATATCCTCAGTTTTGGTCTCAGTTTAGACTAGGTTGTTTGTTTGAAAGCTTTGTATGTGTGTTTACTTTTGTGAAAGTATGGTTGTTGGAATTCTATGTGTAGGTTGTCCAGATTTATTTTGAGGTTTGTCAACCTATGTTCTTATCAGAACTTCAGTTAGTTTTTAGAGTCCATGTATGTTAAGTCCATGTCATAGTTGCTGTTTAGATTAGGTTGTTGGAACTCTGAATTTATGTATTTGCTTTAGCATTGTTGTTGAAACCATTGGTGAATGTGTTTATGCATGTCTGTTGTCTAGGTTTATCAAGCTTCATGTCTAAATCTTTCAAAAGTCATTATTTGTCTGAGTGTGTGCTATGAGAAGTTTAAGTACATAACATTGATGATGTGGTGAATGGTATTGGACCCATCACAGCTGCTTGTGCATAAGACACCATTTGTAATTCATGAATCCTTGTTTCTACTCATGTGTGACATGCTGATTTGATTTGAATTTGGATCTGGTTGCTATCTAGAATCATTCAGCAATGTATTTGGAACATGTGCACATCCTTCTTTGATCTTGTTTGCCTCTGTTTTAAACTTTAACATTGAAAATGAATTTCAAAACCTCCATCTGCATTTCCATTCGTGTTTCAATATGTGAGCATCATTTTAAAAAATGGTTGTTACCATTGTATTCCTCTTCAAATTTCAAGTGGATTAGAGTTTAATTTCATGAAAATTGATGTTGTTTTGGTTGAGTTTGAGTGGTAACCGTTTTCATGAAATCTTGCCTTGAGTTTGTTTGGTTTTTGCCCAGAATGTATGACTTAAAGGGTCATGTATTATTGGGGTGGCTTAATACAATGGATGTATCGCCACCCTAGTGGTTATGCCTTGCATTTCATTTACTTTCCTTGCCCAATGTCTTGAGTTCGATTTGTGTGGAGATCAACTTTTTTGGCTATTTTTGCATTTTCCATGTTTTAGTATTTTATCTCTCTCTTACATTAAGTATTCTCATGCGTGCATGGGTTGATATGGTAGAGGTTTTGACCTGTAATCCATAGGTCACGAGTTCTACCCTTGGTGTGGACCTTCCTTTACTTTTTTAGTACTATTTTCTTTGATTTTTCTTCAAATTTCAAACTACTATAACTTTGCCATTTTCTATCATTTTTAAATGATTCTTTTTGCAAATGTCTTGTAATTTTGCCTATTTTCATATGGAAATTAAAGAATTCAAGAACTTTAATTCTAGAAACACTTTAACCCACTTGAAAGGCTTGTTGCATTTTAGGACTTTTACTCTGATCATTGTTGAGGCTTTGCTTAGTTAATTCTTGAACTATCTTGTGAGATTATTTGTGCTTGATCCTCATGGGTTTGTTAACTTGTTTGAGTATTAGAGTTATGTTTAACTCAAAACATTGTCATGTTTGATCTATGTTCTTTTGTGTGTATTAAATGATACTGTGAACCATGTTTATGAACTATACTACCTCTAGATGTTGTAATATCTTGAGTACACTTTTCATGTCTTCCCTCACCCATTTAGAAGTCTTGATAGAACTCTAATATGATAGAATTTGCTTCATTTATGGTTGTTACCTTGAATTTGCATGCCTACTTCATGAAACTTCTTACTTG